ATTTCAGAAGTTGTGCAACTTGCCAATATTTGAAAAGAGTTAGGTCTGTCAACCTAAGATACACTATAAAAAAGGTCTTGTTGATAATTATTCTAATTTTTTTCCTGATAGTTCTGGTAATATACTCCATGTTATTTGCTTTTAAATAGTTACTATGAAATTCTTTTTCTACTTTTTTGTATTCTTGTTGGTATTGTCCCTTGATTAACTCATCTTTTGCAAAGGTTCTAAAAAAGTCATGATCTCTGTACTTGATTTTGGAGAAAATTTCTTTTAGTGAGGTTCTTGGTAGTCTAGTTGGTTGGCTTTTAATTTTGATGAAGAGTTTTACTATGGACTTAGCTGTCCTGTCACACTGGTCGATTTTATTGCACAATCCTAGAATTTTGTCTTGTTCACTTAGTTTTGAGGCACTTCTGATATTTGCTGTATTGTGGGAGGAATTGCTGCTGCTTGCTTCAAGGTGTTGGTTAGTTTAATCAGCCCATGATATGGAGAATGATTCTATAGTGTCTTCTGATTGGTTGGAAAAGTGATGATTATCAATTTCCATACTGGTATGGATTGATTGTGTGTCCTGTGAGTCTATGCGTTGGGATTTATTGGTGAAGTGATCTGCATGCATCTGTGGAGTGATGCTCATGTTTGCTTGAGGGCTAGTTTGATTGACATTGTATTAAGAGGTAAGTGCATGTATTGTATCATCATCACAATCAATTTATATACTGTTATTGTTATTGATCATTTTCCCAGTTAGAGCTGGAGTATTTGGAGAGGGTATGGGTATTTTGGTTTTTCACTCCAGGAAAAAAGATTTGGCTGCTTCATTGATATTAAGGTCGATTTTATTCCAAGAAATATGAAGTCTGTATATGAGTTTTTGTTTAAGAAGTTCCTTCATAATTCTAGCTTTGTCATTGTCAGATAAATGAAAGATGTATCAATATTCAAAAAAAAAGTTCATTGTTTCCAATAACATAGGATCCAAAATACTGGTTTTAAACTTCAATGTAATAATTCCCAAGTCTTTTTTTGTATACTTCAAAGGATACAAAGATTACTTTGAGTACTTCGCGGTCAGCTTCCTGGAGGCATACTGGTGTTAATCATGCTTTTGAAGAGTTTTCAAATTTTGGGAGGTGAATGTTGGCAGTAGGGTTAGTGGTGTAGACGATGTTGATATTATTGTTTTTATGAAAGATTACAGCTAGGCATTTGTCGACATCGGTGATAAGGACGTCAAGTAAAGTGTGAATTGGTTCGATAGGTTGATCCTTGGAGGATGAAAAAAATCCTCCAGGATCCTTTATGGTTTTTTTTGAAGAAAAAATTTTTATTTTCTTTTTTGATAATTTTATTCAGATATAGATACGTTTCAGAAAGAGTTTTTTTATCTCCTTATTAATTAATTATTTAATAATAATGATTTAAATTTAGATTTATTATTTCAAGAACCCAATACCTTAAATACCATGGCAACTATATAAAATATGTTTGATTACTTAAAGGCTAATAATAATACTCAAGTCCTTCAAGTGAAACTATTCTTCAGAAATGGAACCCAAGATCCTTTGACCTGGTTTTCTGCCTTTACTAAAGCAAGTCAAGTAAATGCATGGGAACAAACAAAAAAAATACAAATGCTGGCTGCCAATCTTCAAGATGAAGCTGAATATTGGTAGACTGAATATGTTACTACTAATGGAACTAATTATACCAAAGATTCCTATAGGCTAGAAATACTTGAAGCAGTATTCAAAGAAAATTCTGCACTCAATAATAACAAAACAAATAGTCCAAAGATTTAAAAGGAAAAAGACAAGGCTCTTTTGAATTTATGGATTCCTATTACACAGACTTCAAGAAACTTATTAAACATGTAGATCTCAAAGAAAACATGACAAATCACCAGAAACTTCACTATTTTCTTAGAGGATTGAGATCCGAAGTTGCTTCTCTTGTGGCTATAAATGTGCTTGCAGATGTTACTGCAGCATTACAATTTGCTTAACAATATGAAAATGGTCAAGACCTTATTAATTATAAACAACCTATCAGAGCCAAACCAGAAAAGACTTTTGGATTTAAAAATAAAGAAACCTCTTGAGATTCCATGAATGATCTTGTCCAGAAGTTCAAAAAGATACATTTAAAACTTGCAGCCCAAATTGAAGATATTTTTGTCAAAGTTGAAAAAAAGAACATACAATCTACTCATAGTTTTGAAAGAGTATTAATTATCCAGCACTAGAGCTGATCTAAATTATATTAAGTATAATAATGATAGCAATAGTTAGTACTATATATAGATTAAAATTAATTTATATATATTATTGTACAAAGATGTTTGATATAATTCATATATTATTTTATATATTAAATAAAGTTTTGTATCTAATGTTCTTTTACAATTAAAAAAAATTTTTTTATTTGATTTCTATTATTTTTTATAATTATCTTTTGCTTCAATAATATTATTTTTTTTATCTTTTTAAAGTGTTAAGTAAGGCATTTCTTATAATCTTTATTAATTGAGTAAAATATTATATTATTAATGTTTAGATTGTAAGATTTTTAGAAAAAAATTGAATAATGATATTAATATGGTTGTTTAATTATGGATCAAGAGATTTGTTTGTCAGTAGAGTTTTTCTTTTTGTTTTGTTATTTTTTATATGTAATTGTTTATTTTTTCTATGTTTGTTTGCTCAGGTAATGTTAAATATTTCTTTTTTTTCATTTATGCTTTTGTTTCGAGAAATCCATATTTCCTAATAAATTAAGTTGAGAAGATCATTTTGAAGATCATTTAGAATTTTTAGGTCTTTTGGGAAGGTTTAAGATTTGTGAAAAAGGAGTTAGTATTTATGAGGCCAAGAGCTAGGTTTATCAGGTGAGTGATGAATTAATAAGCTGTTGAAAAATTTTTGAATTGAAGTTTTTGTTGTTTTTAAAAAAAAGAATAATTTGTGCTTTGGTGTTTTTAATTATTTGGGCTATAGCTGAATTGCTCTTTTTACAGAGCCAGATATGATATGTAGTTTCTGAAGCAGTGTTATATCGAAAATAAAGATTGTTAGTATAGAGATGGGATAAGGTAGAATGTAAATGAGATTTAGTTGGTGTTTCAATAATATTATTAATTCTTTTAGATATTGTTTATATATATTTTTTACAAGTTTTTTTGATATTTTATTTTAAATCTTCAATAAATTATTTTAAAGAATTTTTTTATTATTAATATTATATCTAAATTATTATTTTTTCTTTTCATATTATTTTAGATCTTTTTTATTGAATTTAAATTTGAAGATTTTGATAATCAAGAAATATTTCTAATTTTATTATTTTTTAACTATCTTTATACTATTTTAGTCTTATGTTTAGAATTATTATCATGTTTAAACATAATATTTTGGGGAGTTAAATTATAATATCTTAATAAATATATTAGTTCTTTTAAAATTTTGTTTATAAAGTTTTGCATTAAAATTTTCTTCAATTCTAGATAAATATTTTGTATTATAATAAATAAAACATTTCCATATATTAGTTTCATCTTTATTAAATTTACTTGTAAGAATTATATGTTAATTCTTTAAAGGTTTATAGATTTTTTTCAGCAATATTTGTGTCTTACAGTTTTAAAAGTTGAAATTAGTTTTATTAGATCAGACCACATACTTTAATCTTCTATAGTTCAATTTTTATGTAGTTTTGTAAATTCCAATTGAATTTTTTTGTTTTTTATTTAAAAAAATTTCTTACACTGTATATAAGCTTTAAATCTATTTTTTTTAAGAATTCTTCAAAGTATATTGATTTCAATATTTATTTTTTCATATTTTAATAAGGATCTATATATATCTATAGCTGTTTTTATTCTTCTTTAAGAATTTTTTAAATAATAATACATTTCTCATATAGATTAAGTTTAGGTGGATAACCAAGAATAGCTTTATTTTCTAATTTGTTGGTTTTAAGATATTTTTTATTAGGTCTAGATATAATGGAATAATAAATATTGCTATCAATTGACAACAACCTGATGTAAACTATAACCTTCTTATAATAAGGTATAACCTTTGCCCTCTTCTCTATAGATACCTGTTTTGAGAACATTTGGTTTATATAAGATTTGAGTAAATTTTTGCATTTTTATATTTTTACAAAAAAAATGACAAAAGTCATGCAACAGTAAATTTTATTAATTGCATCATTTTAATCACTATTCTACTGTATACACTGAATTAGATTAAACTATACAATTAATTTCTGATCAAAATTTTAACGCTTAAAGATCGACGATCAGGAGTGCGTTCTTTTTGGGAGCGGTGTAATTAATACTATTTTTGTTATTTTTATCAACAATTTTTTTGTTGCATTGGGAAACTGAATCATAGTTTATGTAAAAAGGTAAAGTCTTTGAATTACTGTAACAGTTTTGCATTCTCTTCCGACAAAACCAACCTTGTTACCTTGTTAGCAGGTTATTCACAGACTACGTATTTACAGTATGTTTGCAATTTAATTTTTTGTTCTTTTGATATTATAATTTGCTGGCAAGTTTCAACATCTGAATTTACTTTGGCAGAAGTCAATTTAGTTGGATAGAATCGAAATTTCATTTAAATACTATCGTGTAGTACTCTATAAAATACCTTAACCGAATAATATTCTCCACACAATAATTATATCATGAATAGTTGATGTCTCCTGCCATAATAGCACACAAGAAGATATTATTTATAGTTTGTTTTTTCTGCTCGGGACACTTTACAAAGTGCATTTCATTGTTTTTTTATTAATAAAAATAACTGTAGCTAGTACAACCAGTGGATACAGCTAAATAATGCCATTTTTGCCAGACGTTTTGTGAGTAAAGAACTGTTCGTAAAAATCCATAGGGTGTCAATGTCTCGTACCTCACAATTGTAGAAACAAACGAACCTGTGATTTTTTTTTAAAGTATCATTGTTTGATATCGTTATTCAGATTCTTTAAGTAACATTTTTTTTTGTTGGAGGGTAATTTTCTAGATTATTAAATTTCGCCGATTTTCGCTTTAACCCACCAATATCTACCTGCCACGTCAATAGTATCATTGATTCTTTGGTCAATAACGAACCGTATCGCCTCTCTATCTTTATGCTCTGAGGTTCCGACAAACAATATACGTGTTTTAATAACCATTTAATCAGTTTCGGTTTTTTTTTCTGTGTCGCCAGACATAGTATATTCATATTCTTTTCCTCATCCCATATCCGGGCGTCTGCTCCTTTTTTTAATAATAACTCAATGGTCTCTATTGGCCAATTGTAATGTATGGCCAAGAACAATGCGGTAGGCGCATTGAATAATTGATAGGCCGACCTAACAATGCACAGCAAATTATTATAGGCAGAATAGGTCGCTTATATTCAGAATCGGGTTCCAAACTTTCCAAACAATAAGATAACACTGTCCTACGATACTTGTCACGCGCATTTATTGGACAGCCGTTGTTACACAATATTTTTATTGCACTAGTCGTACTAGTCACATTTAACTTTTTGTTATTAAATAATTGATGAAGAGCAGTTTTCTGTTCATTGTTGCTTGCTTCAAAATTTGCTTCATAATCTTTTAAAGTTTCTAGCATTACTTCCAGTTCTTCCCCCTTACAATAAGCTGATGCTATATGGGTAATTATTTTCGAAGGCAGACAGAAAGTTTTCAGGCCCCAGAATAACTACTCCAAAAATTCATATTATAATATGTATATACAATATAAATTCTAAAAATAGATTCGGTCCCTAAAATTTATATTGTATATACAATCCCCCCCAATAAATGAAGGACTACTTAAGAATTATTATAATTAAATGGAAATAGTTGTCATATATTAAACTTTTATTTTATTAATAAAAACAACTTTTATATATTAAGTAAATTTATTCTTTATAATGATTTCTATATATGATTAAATTTTTATTAAATTTAAACAAATTTTTATTATTACACTTAATGA